TTATGCACATGAAACAGTGAATCACAGTTGTTGGGCAGTACAAAAGTGCAATCTGATATTCCTGTGAGGGACTGTTGGTGCAGTGCACAACACCACACAGCTGTGCTTCTTTGAGGTGTTTACCAAGTGACCCAAAGAGTGACTTTAGCATAGGAGGGTTTTGAGGAAACCTCATCCCCAAAATCTTGGGGATAAGTTTGTGCCATTGACCGTGATTGACTTCCCCGACACTTTCTTCTGCAAAGAGTACCACTGCTGAAGTTGTTGTAACTTGTATGACTGTTTTGGATATGATTTTCACATTTCTTCTTCAGCCGGACTGCCACCCATCTACCGTTACCTGCTGAAAACAGCGAGAGCCGGCCCAAGATCGACTTCGTCGTTTTTCTCCTTGATGCCAACAACAATATGAGGTCAGTATTTCCACCATCACTTTCAGGAAGGAATATTGTATGGGGTGCCACCGTTAGGCATTTATGCTAGGAACCTGACTGAAATCCTCTAAAATCTACCACGGTGCTGAAACTTACTGCAGTATTCTTTGGGCAACTCTTACATTCAGTAGAAGTCACCCCTCTCCAACTGTCACAGATGATTGAAATTTCACGTTTGCTGTCCATTGTCAACAGGGTATTAAAAATCCAACAAGTAGATGTGTGCCAAAAGTAAAGGATTACCACTCTTTGTATTTGAACTGTCAATCCGTCTTGAGCAGAAGCACCCCCTCATCAGTTGAAAAGAGCCATGTTGGAGGGGAATGTTCACCACTGTCATTTGTAAACCAACTAAGTGCAGTTATCACCAAAGGAGCCTCCGTTGCTAGGAAAATTGCACCCTTGCTTGGTCCTAGCTCAGGTCTGATATTTGCCAAGCTCTTTGTGGCTGAGCCCTGCCCCCTTCATTTCTGCAAAATCTTTAACAAATTTCTCGGTAGATTTTGGATCTTGGAGAGTTCAGGTCAATCATTAGCTGCTTTACTTGTACTGTTGATGGTCCTAAAAGCAAAGTAATTCGTCGCTGCTGTGATTAGCATTAACACTAAACAAATGTTCATTCGACCCTGACTTCATGCCTTGTGTTTTTGTTATTTTTCCAGCATTAGCAAAACGGTCGCATCTGCCAAGGAACTGGATGTGAGTTACTTCTTGGGCAAGGCATGCTTTGTTGTCCTGAATGCGACCAGTGAGCGCTTACATTGCACCGACATGAGTAACATCACTGGGCTGTGCGATGCTCACGATTCCCCCATGCTGTGCGGGAGTGTCCAGGTAGCTCAATCTAAAATCTACAAAAATCCACAGGCTAGTTTTTGACTGCAATCGCTATGGATTACAATCCAGCAGCTGTTGTGATCTGAAAGAAAATAGCATTGCCCAGATGATGTCATTACTATGTCTTTCTTTCGCAGGACGAGAACCAGAGAAAAATTTTGGCTCGGAAGCTGTTATGTCTGACAGAGATCAGCAGCGGTTTCAAGCACGCCATATCCCCAATGCTCATCCAAGCAACAAAACATACATACGAGTTCATGGAAACGTTATGATGATGACATTACAAGCGAGATGAGATTTTGGACTTGCATTGAAACAGGAGATTTTGCTCTGGAGTGCTTGACGTTTTTGCTTGCTTTGATGGTAAATCTAGTCCAGCAAGAAAGCACGACTACAAATGCGAGATGGTACAAACATTCGGATAACCATTGGATCTTGGATTGGACAGAGTAGCGGGCAGTTTATACAAGATGTGTGAAGTGCACTAGGCAAGCATCAGACAGGATTAGTTAATGTCAGCCTGGTGTTACAAGACAAGCAATGTAAAGTTCGTAGTCTGAACAACATAAATTAATGGGCACTTCTTCATCCAGTCGGCATTTCAGAACTCCCAAAAGAGATACGAAACTAAAGCTTTAAAACTGCCCAGTAACGAACCAAATCAATTATCGTGCTCTTTGGTACCGAGCTGAGTTCTAAGTGTACAACTACATGTGCAAGCCAGGGAAAAAAGTCAGTGAAATCTATAAAATCTGGATCCAAACAAAGTCTGTAGATATCCGACAGTTCAGTTTTTTTTTAAACCACAGCCAAATGTGAAAGAAATGTTAGTGAACCTAATGCCTCACTATGGCCAAGTTTTCTTGTGGTTTCAGGTGGTCTCCAGTTTGTCCACATTAGTTTTGTCAGATGTGCCAATTGATATTTAGACCATGCCAAGAGTGAAAGGGAAAAAAAGAGAGTTAGAGAGTGGCTTTCTAAACAACAGCTGAATCAGGCACTTGTCGGCTTTGCACCCATCTGTGTTAACTTTAGTAGCAGAAAAAAACAACTTTAACATAAGCTTTTCAGATCATACAGGGATATTTGTACAATTTATTTCAGTGAAAATAAAACATTCATGTATTGTTATACATATTTTTGTTACAGCAGTTACCAGGTCAGGGACCAGACCACAATCTAGCAACGTCCTCAGTTCCTGCTTATGTCGCTTGTTCAAGCGGTAATGACGTTAGTTTTATCAGGTCACGTGATAATGATGTTATTTTCCTGCGAGATTTTGGGAAATAACAAGATTTTAAATGCCGGCAGCCGTCAACATGGCTGCCGTTGCCATTACCGTTAGAGTCTATGGCAAAGTTATTTCCAATCGCTATTTTGGAAAATCACCGAGGTAAACATAAAATTTGCCAAGGTGAATTGATGGAGATTTTTAATGGCAACATTTTCATGCATAAAGTTAACTTTGGCAAAGTTTTATTTTTTGTGCAAACCTTTTCTTTGGCAGAATTGAACTCGCCCACACTCCGAATTCAATACCTCCATTACAAGATTCGTCCGAAAAATCTCCTCAATCCGCTTTTAGAGATACCAAATGACCGGAAAGTTTCATTTACATCTGGGATAGCATGTTTCCTGTAAATTTGATCAATCAGAGTAATTTGTATTTAAGTTTTTGCCGATAAAGAGATCGGTGTCATCTGTGAACCATGCTCTGAAAAAGCTCAAGAATTATGCCATCAATGCACAATCGAGCGGCATATGCATAGTCTGGCGTCGTCAGATTTTGGTTTGGTCCTCGACCTGATTACAATAAGATGTCTTACTTCTTGTATACCTTTGTTGTACAGAAAGAACTTATACATAATTTGTGTCATCTGTAAAACAGATGTCCAGACTGGTACACAGATTTGTTTAAAATGGGCTTCTACATGTTTAGAACAATTAACATTTTTGATTTAGTTTTCGTTTCTGAAGACTAAAACTGACACCATAAAACACTTGTATTGCAAACATCTGTGCACCAGATGCCCCAACCATGGAATAAAAGATTTTGGCACAATATATTCCACACTGTTACATCACAGGATTAGTGATAGACTGTCAGCACTACCATATATCTTGAAAGTTAATGGCATTCACAGAGTTATACCTGCCCCTACAAATAGACAACATGTGACTCGCAGGGGATTTTCTAAACCTGGGCTTCAGGCTGAAGTTTCATGAATTCTGTTGTCCGAGATACAAATCTGGCCCAGTGCAAGTTGTCTTTCTGCTACAGAAGCATTTAACTTTGAAGCATGAGGGTAAAGCTCAAAGAACTGTACTCTCAATAAACCTTTGAAAATGACAGGGAAGTCCTGAGATGACGTAGCTTGACTCCAAGCTGAGATCTGGAAAAAGGCCAAGGTTTACATTGCGACCAAACAGTAGTTTAAATACTTTTGTTGATTGATTACAAATCAGGAGAAACACTAGACATCCCCGAGTTTGCAGTCTGTCAATCCAAAGCACACCTAGCGGCTTGGTAAACTTCTCTGCTTACTGCCCTATTCATTACCCTATGTGAAGTTACGTCGCTGGCCAAAAGTGTTAATTGCCAATTAATGAATTGAACAAGCAGACATTGTGCGTATATGTTTGGTCTGGGTTCTTGTTTTACCTTTCACAAGTATATGTAGAATACTTAGAGGAATGTAGAGTTCCTGTGGTCCTCTAGAGACAGTGTGGTCTGAGGGCTGATTCTTTACACAGAGTTCTCTGGGAAGAAGTTATTTCAAGACATGGATTTGGAGTTATTATAGAGCTTTTTTTTGGAGGGGGTATCATCTGGATTATCTGTTCAATCCTGGTAAGTCTTGTAGATCAGGCAGCTCAAACCTGGAAGAGAAATTAGGTTGGAATTTCAGGGTAAGTCAGTGCTTGTCATACAATATCTACACAAATCCCCATCATCTGATTGGTGGATCGTTGATCACGTCATTCAATTATTTGTTCTATTCAACAGTAGCCACTGAATAGAACTTAATTTCACTTGATTGGTTCTCACTACATTCTATATATCTCATTCCCAGTAAGAAAGAGGAAAATAATGTAGGGATGACAACCAGTCTAACATTGCATGTAACCACCAGTGGGTGGTACTTCGGACATAAATCTGTTTCCCCAAATTGTTGACATAAATATGGGACCTGTTTGTTCTAACGGAAGAGGATTTTGCAGGTATTGTATTAACTACTTGCTGCCGGGTGGTTTGAAAAATGCAGAGCACATAATCGGGACTTTTTCAAGATTTTCATTTTTCAAAATTCTTCAAAATTTCATCATTTCAATTAATGGACGTTTACACCCACATGACTTACTGTCTGGTGGCCACTCTAGTCTGACAGACAAAATCTATTGATGCCCGAGTATTTCAGCCAGGCCTGCAGCCTTGTAAAAAGAGCCCAGATTGTGCGGTGTTATATAACTTTCTTTTGTTCATGAACCTGACACAGTGCGCTGCTGACCTCTTTTCAATAGGGGCCAGATTAGCATGCAGCAGTGGTGTGTGGCTCATTGCTGCGGTGGTAGAGCACTTTGTCCCCGGTGGTAATCCGCTCGCTCTAAATGTCCCAAACCATGGTATACCGTTTCAAAACAAGGCTGGATTTTCTCCACCATTGAAAGTGAAAAAAGTTGGTAATGCCCAGCAGCCTGGTCTTTTGTTCCGAGAACGGTCTTTTGTTACAAGGCCCAGTTCCCTTTGTCCGATTTCGGGGACCCCGGCCACGCGTATAAACACACGGTGCCTGAAACTGGGCTCCCCGACAAGAAGTAAGTAAACAAGTTAATGAATGTTTCACATTCGTGCAATGGAAATGGTGAAATGTTCTATTCCACTGGGCTTCGCCTCATGGAATGGAACATTTCCTCTGTTACCTCATGCAATTATTCTTTCCATTTCACTCATAAACATAATTTGTATAATATTTACAGCACCTCTAAGGAAAACACATTTTCTCTGATGTTATTTGTTCAAATAAATATGGAAGCATCCAAATTGAATGCAGTGTCATTTGTCTTCAGAGCTCAAGTATAACAAGCTAAAAAGGGCTTTTCTTTTGTTCATGCCAAGACGTGAATTCTGGATGTAGATTGCGTCATTCTGAGAAAATGAGGGAAACCCTCGCCTGGTGTTCGTGGTGGATAGCCCTGTACATGCTAAATAAAGCATGTAGCCTTTGTTTGGCATGTACAAGTTGTTTGGCATGAACCGCGATTGGGAACCAGAAGCAAGCCTAGAAGACAAACCAGTATTATCTCCACACAGCTCCTGCAAAGAGCCATGCCCAAGTGTGATCAGCGACTGTTTGCCAAGGACTGATTAATTTTGCCGGGTAACCACAGTAATGTACGTGTGGCACAGATCCTGGGTGCAAGGCAAAAATCAACTGGCAACTGGCAAACTTGGCCATTAAGGCCTACTGATGAAATGGGGAAAGAGAAAATGGTTCACTGTGAGCTACATGAGGGGCCAGCTTGTACTCACCTCAGTCTTGCCGAGGGTGAGCTAATGAGTTCCTTTGAGTAGTACTGAGATATGAGATTTGAGTCCGTCAGATGGCTGTGATGAGTTATAAACTCCTCAAATGTTACATCCATATCCTCGCACTGTAACCAAAATGGGCACAAAACCCTGTCAAATTTTGATATATTCAATCTCTCTCAGAAGCTTGGGAATGGGATCGAAGGGTAATGCCTCGCAGAAATTTTTCTCAAAAAGCTTAAAATAAATTTGACAAACTGATATGGACAACAATGCACTGCAAACACACAAGCAATGTAAATAAAAACTGAACATGAACAAAAGCTGCTGCAATGGACAATTTCCTAGAGTCAGATTTTCAGGGGAAAATTCATTCCTAGATAGGGTGAATTATGAATATCTTGCCATGGGGCACTGAACAAATATTTTCTATCATTAACACACTTCTTCCCACCCCACTGACATAAAGAACTTTCAAATAGCTGCTGGAACCAGCACCAAGAACCAAGAACTTGTACCTGATTGATTGCATCAGCTACAAGATGGATGAAGAGCATGGTTACTGTTTCGTGGTAACCTCTTTTCACCTTCAGACAGACAAAAGGGGATGTTGATAAATGAATGATTAATGAACACAAAAGAAGAGGAGAAAAGACGATCCCGTTGGTCATAAATGACAGCATAGAAGTTAGAAGTATCATTCGTATGTATGCGTGGCTGACACATAAAGAAACTGCATGCTAGTTATAAATGTAGTTAAAACCCAACCTGCCCACGTCCTTCCAAACCCACTGGGTTTGACAAGATTCTTGTAAAAAAAGGTCTGCTGATTTCTTGCACAGTGGAGGATTTGGGACGATTCAGGTCGGTTCCCTGCAAAGCTTCCCAGGAATTAAGCCAAGTTCAAAATAGGGGGTTATCCTAGCTTTCAATTAATATCTGTCAAAAGGCTTAAACTTTGGGTTTAAAAGATACTTCATACTGGGCCTTATGTCACAGCTGCCAAGAGAACAATCGATGTGTCATATCTACACAACATTCAGGAAAATGGCTTAACGTTATTCAAATATCAAAGCAAGCAGCAATTCCAATGAAGGCTTATCAAGTTTGTTTTATGTACATTTTAATTAAAATCTAAACATGTACCTGGTCTTTGTGCTGTGCATTGTACTTCTTTATGCCATTTCTAAGACAAAGACAAAAATATTCAACCATCACATGTCAAGTCAATTTAATACACCACAATAACCTCCAGCTTTATAACTCAAGATAAAATCTAGTTAACACATTTTCATCATAAGCGTATCTTGAATGCATAATTGTGAGAATTGTTAGTTCTTTTCTAACCATATTGGAAATGTTTTATATCAGGTGTATTTACAAAATGTGCTTTACTACACGTACATGTACATTTTCATTGGTATAATGCCATTCAAATGCTTGTTCACAGAATTCCAGAGCTGAACATGCATCTTTTAACTTGTTGAATTCAACCTAATATTGAACCTGTCACTGAATCAGGAGAAAACCATGTACCTAATGATCTGTGCTCACTGCATGCAATCTTTCACACCAATGCCAACCTAATCTGATGGATCTGAAATGAAAAAGTGCTACTCGAGAATGCTTGTCCGTCAGTGTTGTAGTCAAGACCTCTTAAGACCATCACAAGACCATCACAACAGTAACGCAAGACCCCCAATTCAAGCCACAACCTGTTCAAACGAATGAATAAAATATCAGCTGACTTGTCTTGTGACTGGTCTTATCTGGTCTTGTGACTGCAATGGTCTCAACTACCGCACGGTTGTATGCTTAATATGGGAGTGACTTACTTCAGTGAGGGGGGGGTGGAGCTTGTGAGGATGATAGAGACTTGCTTCCCGAGTAAAGCTTACCTGATCAAAGGTTTGGCATTCTCTTTGCCGTGCATCTTGATGTAGTTCCAAGCCATGCGTAGGTGAGCCTCGTGGGACCAGTCCTCGAACAGCAATGTTGTGTCCTCAAAGGCCTTCATGAATGCTTCGTCACCAATGGATCGGAAGGAGCTGTCAAAGCAACAGGGAGTACAGAGAACTTGTCAGAGCTCACCATTCTTCAATCTTTTCACTAGGTGTGGCAAATTAGGAGTCCTGTCGGAGCACTTGCTCGGTCCAGGAACACAAGATGGCACACTTTTGCTTAGCAATGACGGGCCTTCAGTGAGACCTCATCACATTTGAGCACAGCTTTGTGCACATTTGGTATGCAACATGATGAGTACAACCCACCACTAACTGTTGGGAACTACCTTCTTGGTATGTACGCCAGTTATCTACATGAAACAATTCCCACCAACCTGTCTCTTCTTTGCTCGTGGGGGGGGGAGTGTGTTTCAAGCTGGGGTGGACTTGTTTTGATTTGGAATAATTTTTTCAAGGGGCATCAAAACTGACAGCCACTCTTCCCCAAATCTCTTTAGCCAAAGTTCTGTCAAAATTTGGTACTTTTGATTCTTTTTGGCACTAACTTGATCACAAACTCTTGTTCATGGATGAAATTTGTGGTCATACTAATAATGAGATTAGTAGTTCTTGGTTTAATATTGGAGGACAAAATGTCACCTGAACAAACTATGAACCCCTGCTTCAAAACTTTGAAAAATGTAAATGGGATCTTTGTAGAAGGTAATCCAAAGTACAGGCAAAATACCTGGCAAAATACAGCAGGGGTTGTCGTGCCTCGGTACCCGTGTCCATACTGGTGTCTAGCACCTCACCATACCAGACGTGATGGTCACCAATCAGGTGGGTGTCATGAGCCTGGCACTGTAGCACAGCGGCTGCACCCTCAATAAGGGGCACACCCTACTCAGCCAAAAAAAGGGGAAACCATTGTGAATTGATTGTAACATCCTCAAAGAAAACTAGATATCAAACATGCTGCATGTTTCTCTGCGGATTGCTGCTCGGTTAAATACATCATCAATGAATGCTGCCCTTCCACAATCATATCTCATTTAACATCTTATTTTACAATTCAACGGTTTCATTTGATTTGCGACAGTACAGTCCAGTCACAATTAAGTTCACACAAGGGTTTGATACCCAAATTTTAGAAAAAGACTATGACCAGCAGTTTGATGAACTGAACAATAATGCCGAGAGTTTGGTCATAATTTTGCAGTTTCCTTTCTTTAACCTGTGATGGTTTAGTATATGGGTAATTCCAGAAAATAGGGATCCAAAAGTGTGACATTTTCTTGTCCCTGTTACATCTGACCTTGGTTATCTGACATGGAAATATCACCGCAATTGATTTCAAACTATTACTATTTGTTCGGCAGGTGATTTGCATTAATGGATCACTCTTGGAAATTAGAAAATAAAAATTATTCCAAGTAGAAATCTCAATGACTCACTGAGAAGCCTAGTTTGTGAGGCACTGCATTGAACTGATCCTCTCCATTTTGGGCTGGCTTGGAGAAATGAACGCCATAGTGAACCTGCCGGACAAAAATGCACGTACATAAATAAACACCTGTCTCATCTGTCATCATTTTTTACATGCATTTCTATAACAATGCCACATAAATGTTGGAATGTGTTTAGTTCTGTGAAATTTTCAATGTAAAAATTAACCAATGTGCTACATGTAAATTATAAACAGAATAAATTTTCAGGCAGCAAAAGAGAGATTTGTTGAGACACTTGGACTGCATATATGTACTCACCTGATCTTTAGCAAGCACATTGACGGCAAAATGTCTTGTGTCCTTCAAGAGGGCATGCATTCGACTGTGTAAAAAGAAAGATTACAAATTCAAGTTCAAAACACATTGCTGGATATTTCAGCCGGATAGTCAGGCAAGGATACAGTGTTGCTTTCTCACCTCGGCCGCGTGATACAGAATGATATGACCGGTGGGCGCATGGAGACGCTGGTAAAGGAGCTACATGTGACTCCACGCTTGATGCAGCACTCCGAGTCTACATACTGGGCTGAAGTCACAACCACCACTAAAACGACAAATTGGAAAAAAAAAGGACCAAACTCGACTTTACATTTTTCAATTTTCTGACATACATGTAAGCTTATGTTAATCCTAAACAAATATCTGATGAGACGATTTGCATTATTGATTTGTGTAGAAACGGGCTTTTTAATTAAAAAAATTTTTTTTAATTTTATATTACCTGTAGTAGGTATTCTTATTATTTCTCATTTCATTTTGGCAAAGTATGCTTTTTTAAAGTATTTGGACTAACTGCCCTTCGTTTTAACATTCCAATTTGAGGTAATTTCTTCAAGCAACTTATTACATATTACGGCATGAAAGGGTAAAGCAATGACGTTTAAGATACACTTTTACCACATACAGCAGTAAAATATTCTTTTCGGTGTATTAAAAAAAACAATTTGGTACCATAAAAACCTTTGAAAATAGCAGAAAAAAATGAAAAGTGCTGCATAGACAAGTTAAGGAGGTGATGTAAACCACCTGGAGATGGAACGGTCCTCATGACATTCCTGAAGCCACTGATGAGCTCTGCCTGTTTCTGTTCAGCCAGTTCAGCTGCTGAGATGCCAGTGGGGTGGCTGGCATTTCCTGAGCTGTCTTCATCTGGATTAAAACTGACTGCATGGCAAGAAATGAGATTTACAATTAATTAACCAAATTCTGTTTTGATCTGCAGTGCCAAAAAATTGAGGAAACCGAAGACGACCACATTACTATTTTCCACAGGGGAAAGTCAATGTGAGGCCTGAGCACCCCACAAACTATTTTTTTAATGTAATCAGTGAATATCTGACTAGTTCACAGTCCTGATACATTTTTGCTGTTGTAGCCAACCTACACAGCAACTGAGCATACGTAGCAAGTGTATTTGGATACTAAGAACCCATGTTTTATGCTTACGCTGATATTAAGCAATTTGTATTAATGAGATGAAATTCAGATCTAGTCCAAGTTCAGACTTTTTCCCTGAGATAAATAAAGAATTTTGTTGGGTTGGAAAACTCCGAAATGCCCATGGCAGGTCTTGGCCCTGGGTTTCCATATCTTGAGCCATATGCCGTATCTAGCTTGTGGGAGTGCGGCGCATGACAAACCCTACAGTTCTGGAGGTAGCCTTGCACTGCATCCACTCATTCACACTCGCTTATTCACCAAAGGTGAATTTGATAATTTATTTAATATCCCTGGGGTGCGATGCCTGCCCCGGTTCCAGTCTGGCAAAGCAAAGCAATGCAAAGCTACAACTAACATGACCAAACATTCAGAATGCCTATGAAATTAAATATACACCTCATTCAACATAATTAAGCAATCATGCCAACATAATAAAAAAAATTTCGTTTCAACACAAATTATATTATCAACATTTTCAACCGCTTTAATTTTTAAAGCGCCCTCACATGACCAAGAAATTGTCGGAAATAAAAGCCCAACCATTTGGTAATGTACAATACATGTATCCACGTTTGTCGTATTAGTCCAAAACACTTTAAAATCGTAACCGACCATAGCAAAACCGAAAACCAACGGAGTATTTTGGTACTTACCCGAAGAACAATCACGCTGACTCTGAGCATTTTCAATCTGCTTTTGAACCAGGTTTAAAAGTCTCGAGAAGCACAACCGGACAGACGGTCGCCGCAGCATTCTGGTTTTTCACGTGGACTGGTACCTGTTATCCCTCTTGTAAAACCTCACAATTTGCCAGTTCAACTGATGTGTGATCAGATTAAACATTACGTCATTTTCTCAAGGGTCATGCAACTGGTTCCCTGATTCGATTCTCAATGATATGTCTATGTCGAGTGATTACCAATGTCAAGGGGGCATCCCTTGTAAATAAACGCACATGGACAGAGGGAATCCCAAGCCCTGGTAATGTATTCTGTTGTATGTTGCCATAAACCAAGAATTAACCGTTAACCATGGAGGAATAAGTGCACACTGATCACTCCACGAGTGCATTTTACTTCTGTCGAGGAGCTGTATGCATGTAAGCTATCGTTATCATGCAAATCTAACTAAGACCATGAAGACTTAAGTATTTATAAAGATGAACAAACAAATTGATTAGAGCGGGATTTGGACCTGATCATGCGGCTTCCTGAACACCGCACCACAGTGGGCATGATAAGGGACACTACTCCAGAGTAGTGCCTTGCTGTTCAGGAAGTAACTGTTGCGGTGTTCTACCAACTGAACTATCCAGCCCTACGTTGGTGGCTGTTCCCATTTGTCAATATCTTTGTTCAGGGGGCACTAGCCAGAAGCCATTAAACCTGAAACACCATGTAGCCAGGGATCACGCCCCAATATTAGTATTAAATAAATTAGTCTGTCCAACCTGGGAAGCGGTGAGCCACATGTGTTGAGCTAGCATGATTGAATCACAGAGCGGCACAATTGCAGAATACCCCACCACTCACCTCTCCCATGTTGTAGCCGGCTACAATGTCACGCTTGACTACGTCACCAATCGTAGCCGGCTGTGGGGTACTTGATTTGGACTTATAAGTTGTTCCCCTATCACCATTCATTCACCGCAGCCTTGCTCTCAGATCTCCATTCATGCACAGTTGCCTCGTTTTCGGACCGCAGCATCGCCAACATCATAGCCGGCTACGGGGTACTTAGTTTGGACTTAGAATTTTTTCAGCCATCCCCATTCATTCATCCTCCATTCATTGACCCTTGCATTCCCACGTGGAATCTCATTTAGTTAGCCTTTGCCCATTTGCTACATTGCCTGTTTGCAACTCCATCCATTTCATTTTCATGTTGCATCTTGGACTGTACCATGGCCCCTTCGACATCGTAGCAAGGGATTAACTTTTGAGTGGCGGGGTATTCTGCAATTACTCCCACGGAGCTATTAAAACACACTTGTGTGACGTGTATAGTCGTCAAATTCAAAAGAAAACAGACATTGAAGACATTATGAAAGTTTGTTCCCAGAACAACCTCTAAAAAGTTAACAGGGGCCTATTCTTCCATTTGTTTTATTTAGACAAACAATGTAATACATAATTTGTATTTATGTCAAAAGTTGACTTAGGCTAGTACAGGCACAGGTGGTTTATCACTTATCAGTAATACTTTTGAAGTTTTGTGTTGATGAAGTTGGGAAGTTTTGGGAACTTAATTCTCTAGGCATTATGAATATGCAGAGCATTTTTAGTACATAGGTATACAAAAACATGAAAATTAAAAGTGTAAGCTTTCACACTGTCAGGATATCCCCTATAACAAGAGCTTTGAGGAAACCCACCCACCCAGAATCAAATATGAAACAATCCAATTACAACTTCCAACCAATCACAGGCTCCACTGAGATGATTCCACTCTTAGTATGGGGTAGGAAGTATTTCCATACACCAGGAGTCTTATGGAGGAGCAAGAAGCCAATAAAACTGAAGGGAAGGAGTCCAAGCTCTCAGCAGTGGCTCAGCAGACAGGTCAATGACCCTTACGTGAAGCAAGCCCAGGTAAGAGCAGCTTGGGCCCGACTGAGCTCAGGGATCACTCAAACAGGAAATAATGGACAAAAAATTATGTGTTGTCTGAAGCTGTGCCCTAAAGCGGCTTCCAGAGTTACAGCTGTCTATTTTGCCCCTTTGTATGTGTAAAAGGCTGTGAAAACTTGAGTAGACTTCCATTTGTTTGCAGATTGAAAACTATCGTGCTCGCAGTGCCTTCAAACTCTTGGAGATCGATGCAAGATTTCGGCTCCTGAGACCAGGGCACGTGGTGGTGGACTGTGGAGCAGCACCTGGGTCATGGTCGCAGGTTGCCGTGGAGAAGGTCAATGCATTGGGAACAGGTGGGGGCAAGCATGGTGTGTCAAAGGTCACTGGTAACAGTGCACGGCAATTGAAAATTTCAACTGCACATGTAACCAGTCTCTAAATATGGGCCAACTTAACATAATGCATTGCTCATTAGTTACATCCTCCCTGTTCAACAAATTAGGAACTTATTGGCACAACCTCAAGTTGGATGGCTCACTGCTGAAGGCAGGAACTTAAGAAAATTGTTTTCATTGAACTTGAGATCTGGAGTAAAGATGTAGATTGTGTGAATATGCACTGGGGTATCCTTTAACACAGACTGAGAAGGTCAATTTCATGCTCGTTTCTGTTATGTTCAAAATAGCAGCACTGCAGTGCACTAGATTGTTTCTTATTCATACAGGAAGAAAATGTCTGTGTTGAATGGTTTAAACATCGGTGTGCACAGTTCATTTGGTGTCCTTGTGTAACCAGTTACACTGATTAAAGCATTCATTCTTGAACTCGCTTAGAAATTCTTTTTTGCTTCAGATCCAAACAAACCCAAAGGGAAGGTAGTCAGTGTTGATCTCCAATATTTTGAAGCAGTAGAGGGCGCCATCCTACTCACGGAATCGGACTTCACTCATCCTGCGACACAGTCCAAAATCCTTTCAATTCTCAATGGCCAACTCATAAATGCAGTGCTGAGCGACATGGCTCCAAACGCCACTGGTGTTCGCGTCATGGATCACGAAAACATTGTCCGGCTCTGCCGGTCCACTCTCAACTTTGCGCAGGACGTTCTGCGGGAAGATGGCCATTTTCTCGGCAAATTGTGGGATGGCCACGAAATGGCCCGACTGAAGGAAGAAATTGCCCGGGTATTCCGCAGTGTAAAAGTGGTGCGGCCCGACGCTAGTCGGAAAGAATCATCCGAGATCTTCCTTCTTGGGAAAGGGTTCAAAAGATATTTAATCCACAATGTAGGTGGTATTCCTAAAACTGGTTGAATCTTTTCGAAAGGCACCTTTGAGAACTACTTCTGTTCAAGGCATGAGCACATCTCAACCAAATACAGTACAACACACTCTGTGTTTATACTAAAACAATAATTTATTAAATTTCCAGGGAACCAACAGTTAAGTTGCATATTTCATTATTTTCCCGTAAATAAGTCAGGTAATTAACACCTTTTTGATATAAAGAAATCTTTCAATTAAAACAATCCTTGGACTCCAGGGCACATGTACACGAACATCTTCAAGCTGTATTTCCTAGTTTTCAAAAGTTTCTTTTTTGTACATTGTGACAAGTTGACAATAAAGTAGTATTTATTAGGTTTTTACTCTCTCATGTACAGGGCCTTATCTACACTTTGTGCATTGTACGAAAAGGACATGTATATTGTTTTGAATCTGAACAATAATATCACAGTTTGCGACCAACAAAACAATTAGACTTATAAAGTCACAAATATTGTCATAATTGGTTCATTTAACCAAACATAAATTTCGCAGACTTAACAAATTTGACACGTGTCCTTCATCCGCTTTGTTTCGACTTGCAAAAAATCCTAAAATCCTTTGCTTACATAAAAAACTGTGCTAAACTCTTTTGAAAACCTGCTTAAAAAGACAATTCATCTTTTCAATGGATAATTATTTCTCTGGACAGTTACCAGATTCACAACTTGCCGTAGCTTTTAATGCTCAGCTTCTGTTTCTGTGACAATGTGCTCGCGTATTTCCAAATACAAATAGCTGTTGGGCTAGGAGTACATAAGCGAGTCAATCTGCAAGTAACCCAGCAAACTGCGCTGAAGAAAACTTTTAAAAATTTCAATATTTCATTGAAGTGTAATATTAAAACAAGGATGTTTATTCAGAGAGCAATGTATAGGGGACAATACTCCTGATAATCATGTCGTGAAATACCATCCAACACCATCCATTCTAGGGAGTGGTTTTGTTTACGCTTAGAATACGTTGTCTCACTCCTGGGTCCAACAGGGAAGTGTATATGTAAGCAAAGCATCACATCACCACACAGGAATCTTGCCAAACACCAGCTGAAATCAGTCCAAAATCCGCCTTGAGCACAAGCACCCCCCTCATTGGTTGAAAAGAGCCACGTTGGTTGGGAGTGTTCATTTTGTTGGTGGCGATGCAGCCGTGACGCGTGCATTTGCTAGCTGTTCGTGAACAAGCAAAGTTCAGCTCCGACCAAAGGAGCCCCCACTGCTAAGAAAACAGCGCCCTCTCTTGGTCCAGCTCACGGCCCATAATGTGCATCACCTCACTGTTAGAGGTATCCTGTGGTTTATTTTTTTTTGGTTGTTCTTCAAAACTTCCATTTTCAGCCAGTGCGAACTCATTTTAATGAAACACGATCTTATACCCAACATTCATGCAAATAATGCCCAGTTAAAAATAAAAGGGTCATGGACTTGCCTCTTCACTAAATGACATGCTAAAATGCTGTGAACGGTAGTGTACAGGTAAAGTGGCTTAGGCCAATGAAAATCCAATACTACATTTTTCCCACAACTGTATGGTAGGAGCACTTCCTCAATGTAAAATCCAAAACATTCAGATTGAAATCCACAATATCTCTACTGCCACAAACTGTTAGGGGAAAACATGCTCAAAGGTTCCAACCACTTTGTAGTTTACAGAGAGTTTATACTGTGTTAAAAGTTCCATTCGTCCATGCTAACCCCCCCTTCAACACCCTTCTGAAAATTACTAAATTCTTTTATTGATATCTGATATCAATACTACTATTTCAACCCCACCTGCATCTCACTGTAAATGCACATGTAAAAACCTCGGTAAAATCCTCTTGTATCCAAGTACCACCTTGGACAAGAACGTACATAACATTCCATTTGCCTTTGTTATTGCCATGCTCTGATGTATGAGGTTGCCTGCTGCCTGTTACGTGCTATCATCTGGCTTTCTTCTCGGTTGAGTAGATGGAGAGGAAGGAATCCCGGCTTCCTGAGGCGAGATACACCTTTCGAAAAGTCAACAAAATGCGGATTTTCAATTCATTTGTACCTTCTGCAGCCATGTTTTACAAAAGGAAATGCAGAAACGATGCTAAAAAAAAGAGACTTTTGTATCATCAGAAAAACTGAATGTGGTTATCAGCTTCATGTAAATGCAAGATACAAGACAGACTAAAAGAAAAAATTGAATGATAGAACAGAAAACAGATTTTCTGCATTAGCATGATGGCTGAATAACAGAGGGTACTGTTGCTTTGATGCTTGGTCATTTGAATGAAAGGCTTAGGCTGTGCTCAAATCAACTGTCTAGAGCTAGGTCTAGGATTCCACTCCATTGAATATACAAAGATACACATTTACAATAGATGTAGCCGTAAGCTCTGGAAGCCCGTTTTGGACACAGCCTTAGTCTGAGTCATCTGACTGTGGCTGTCAGTAACCCATGAGTTTGTGGGAAGGGGTTGCACTCGCTAGACAGTGACTTACCACAGGCACAAGTTTTATCTCAAGACATGGCTACAGCATTTGGACATGGCTTAGTATGTATGAGAATTTATACATATTAAAATGCTTCATACATATTCATGATCAATGGTCTACACATCATCATTTTCAGCTTTTTTTCCAAACCTTTCCACAAATGTGCAATGCAAGACCTAACTGACCTGGTACTCAAAAGAAAGTCAGTAAAATGCATCTGTTGAAAACTCGATTTGTCCCATGTTCTGAATCAGAACAAAGTAGAATGTAGACATTTAGGGGACACTGTAGTCACATATACCGACCTTAAGTGGGTGGAAAGCAAGGCAGCTGACAGGGCCAATCCGTTGACCTATGAACCCTTCATAGTACTTGATGTTGCTGAGTGTATCACCGGACATATTGAAGACACTAATGAGCTGATTGGCTGAGCCACTGTCGGGACAAAAACAGATTGATACGATGACTGTTTAATAACCGCCATGAATTTCAAGATTGTGAATTTCAAAAAACACTATTGAACTTGGAAACTGGTGTAAACTACACCTCGGAACTTATTTTTCCAGATTTTACAAATTTCAGACAAGCAAATCCCTTAAGGGAAGTAGCAAATGTCGTAATGAAACCATCATGAAATTTCCTTTCATTTTGTTTCCTGAGTAAAGCATAAACTGACCCAACGTCATAAAGTCGAATGTCACTGCACCTAAAAACCTCCGTAAAGAATCCTAAAGGCAAACAGCAAGATTTAACACACACGTCCAGCAGTTTACACAATCCCTTTCTTCTTTGCCGTTTGTAAGATGTGTAGTCATCCAGCCATCCAAACCTAGCATTACTATTTCTGGTATCAATTCCGGGGTCTTCTCAAGCCCTGCTGGCTATCCGCCCCGAGCTGAAGTGCACCACCAAATGGCGAAAGAAAGACAGGTGGTTACAAGTGGGTTCTTGCACGCGTTCTGCGAGTATGCAAAGACCATACATGCCGGAATAAATTAGTTACACGTACTCAGCGCGCTCCGCGTCGAACGCGCATATACTTGCGCGCCTCATGGCGTGCCTGTGCGGTGGGTACCAAAAAAAAAAAACATGCCCTCTTTTGTTCCGCTCGGAGCGGATACTGACATGAACCTTACCATGCAAATATATTGGCCTGTTGGTGTACGGCCATCGTGGTCAGTAAGCTGAAGTTGGTCTGGATGAGTTTGACCGACTCCGTGAAGCGGGGATCCCAGAAGCGCACATCGCCATTCACGCTGCAGGTACAATACGGAGGAAAGACATCAGTCAAACCAATCAATCTATGGACTTTACACCTGAACAAGAGATGGCTCTTTTCACAGTGGGCACAAGTTTGTATGCCTTTAGTCCACACTGCATGGTGTGTATGACACATTTTAATTGGGATATACAATATACCAGCGCCCAGTTAGAATTCTCTCCACAAGCTTCTCAGCAGTTGAGGATATTTTCTACAGAGTGGATAACCAGAGATTTACACTCAACTCTAGGGCCTTGCTGAGCACAAAACATTCTACTAACAGAACCTTGTCACATTTGACAGAAACTGTCACCAGTAAGCTCAAGGAAGAACTCCAACTTCACGAGCAAAATTGACTTGCAATTCGTGATGCAACAAAAGAAAACTCCACACACGTATATAAATATGAGTACAAATGATTTGTAACCTCAAGTGACTATTATGGCATGAAAAAATCATTTTCAAGGAAAATATCACTAACGCAAATAAAAGAAAAACCAGGATTTGGGTGCAAGTACCTTGCACTGATGATCTTGCCGTCTCCTGCACCTTTCTGAAGATGCACATTGACCACCCAGCTGTTGTGCTCTCGTAACGTCATCACTCGACTGAAAGAAAAGACGAGAATTTAAGTAGATTACTGTGATCTTTTTTAGTGGTTTTTAAACCACAAATTTGTTTGAGAAAAAGAATTGGCTAAAAATATTGACTTTCCCTGTGGGGCTCAAATGATCAGCATATTTAGGAATATTTCAACACTAACCTGATGGTGTTGTTTTCTCATAAACGTAACGATTCTTTTAAATTCACAGATGCTAAATGCTTACTATTAAAAAAATCTTAGGAAAGAATACAAAATTTCACTTTCAAAGAAACGTTGCTCGAGAACACACATCACTGCATAAATCAAATGTTGAACACAGACAGAAAAATACATCAGCTAAAGAACAAACCTTTCTGTTGGGGCTAGCCTCCTGTCATATAGCCTGACGCTACCATCCCCACATCCAGCTATCAGTAGCGACCTGCCTACAGAGTCACAAGCCAGGCTAGTCACACAGCTATCTGCTCCTGTCGGTATATCCTGATGACAAGATACAAACCAGTGTTGACTCATCAGATCTGGTGTGAAGTAACAGCATCCGCATACAATATTCCAAATACAGTGTTTTGTATCAATTTTTGAAACTGGCTGGTCAGATCCTGTGCAGAAAGTATTGCAGATACCTTGAGAGTTTTAAGTACATTTGAGAGAAGTTATTAAATTGGAGGCCTGGGTAGAATCTCATGAAACAGTGAACAAAATACTGCTTTTCACAGTTAACCCCTACTTTTGTGGTCATGCTGATGACATACTGGCTATTTTCAGACTCTTTATAAAGTGAGGGGATTAGAGCTGAGCTCAAGCTCAAGCCATAGCCATAAGAAACACTCTCGTCTGTGGTTATGGCTATTCACTGTTGTGAGCCTATGTGGAAACTGAAGCTGCAGCGTCAAGGTAGCTCCAGTGGCTACTGTCTTCCATCTCGGTTAGACTGGTTACCTGTAACTTGAGTTCTCTCTGCGTGTCCCACACTCTGATGGTGCGTACATCCCCAGATGCTAGAAGCATCCCCGATTCCTGTTCCCAATCTAAGACAAGACCAGCTCCTAGAAATGCAGGGAAAAAAACGTGAGATTTGCAGGTTGTAAGCCTGAGACCGACTCAAAATCTGTCTTCCCCGTAGCCAAACTGTGCTCGACCCAAACTTAATGGATGCAGATTTTGAGTAACTCTATCAGCTGTAGGAAGGTTTTAAAATCACTCAAACGTAGAGTAAAATATCTAAAGAGCTGTATATAGTAAATATAAATATAGTAAAATATAAATAAATACTATAAATATAGTAAAATATAAATAAATACTATAAATATAGTAAGATATATAAAGAGTCAGATATATAAATAGTCAAACTCAAATAAAGTTTGGATGACTCAAAAGGAGGAAAATGTGCTTGATGGTGGATAATCCACGCTGCCCATGAACCTGCCCCATATTTGTGAGTTTATTTTTCAATAGATAATGAAGTGGAGAAGAGAATTCAGCTAGCAAGGACGGGAAAGCACACAGCTAAAGGCCTACGGGCAAGCTGACTTCTGTTCATGCCGATGAAAACTATGTTCACTCTCCTTGGGGTAACAAATTGTTAAGGTTTCAGCAACAACCAAAATGACACAATTAAACAGTTTGATGAAAATCTTTTGGGGCCACCTTTAATGGAGGGCAGCATATCAGACAGAGCGTGCCAAGAGGAGACCAACTCCACTGGTCCGCTGGAGTCTGGTAAGTAATTGCGCCAAATCTGGACGGCTCCATCATCTGAGAACAACAGAGAGAAAGAGAGCAATGAACACACAAAATGAAAAGAATTACACGGCCAAATCAACATTCTGACTTTATAACTGACTTTTGAGGGAGCTTATGGACGACAGAGACATAATCTACACAGGTTTCAAGTTTGTTTCCAGTTTAGAAAACAAAAGGCTTGTTTACATTTCAGCAGGAATTTATCAAGTAAACTAACTGGGACTTACATCGGTGATCCCAATTTATTGATGGCAAACACTCACAGTCAAAGCCCCACGGCAGATGAAGCTGCCTCATACGCCAAGTTTTAAATGCCAGGTATGTAAAGGTGTTTGTATACATCACAGCACAGAAGTACTCCATTAAGTAAATTTTATCTTTTGAAGTGTCCATGGTAGAAAGCACTATTTGTCCTTTTTGCTTTATATGAACACTTATTTTCATATCAGAAGTGGATACAGCCCTTTGCTTTTTGACAGCTGCCTCATCAGCCCCTTTTCTCCTTTCTGTGTAGTTCTGCTTTTTCTGCACTCACCACATCCAGTCATGAGGAGGGATATATCGTGTGCATTCATGATGTCCATGGACGTGATCTTGGTGTCTTTGTGGTTCAAATGTGAGAAATAGTTCAGCTTCTCCCCGTTTTCCCAATTCCACACACTGGAAGCATTCAAAGAGAGAAAATGTTGGGAAAAAACATGCCACACCACATCAGAGGACGTCTACATGGCTCATTGTTGGTTGATTGATGATTTTTTAAGTTTTACATTAGGACATTTTATGTTTAATATTTATTTTTATTTTTAAGCTGTGTGAACTGGGATCCATGGGAGATCAGTGAGTTTTTCTTACTAAATGGAACCCATATAATAACTAAGAAAAAAAAAATCAATTTATGATGACAATACGGGCGTTTCACAACAGTGCGCCTCCAAGAGTTTGCAACGCGTTGGCCAATCGCTGTGCGCGAAATTTGTCGACCCAATGCGCGTTTGGAAAGGGTCGACAAATTTCGAGCATTGTGATTGGCCAACGCATTGCAAACTCTTGGAGGCGCACTATTGTGAATCGCCCGTATTGCACTTGTGAGCAAACAAAGTACACATATCAACTTCAACGCCAACTTGCTAGCTTCACTATCGTGGGTCCAAATATACACCTGACCGTATTACTAGTTCCAGTAGTTTGGTCTTGAATCTAGATTAAGCCAACCTCTGTTGTTGACATCACTTTTTGACCCAAATTTGCTCACTGGATTTATCGGTTTATCTTGCAAACATCAAACATAATTTTAACATGCACGTGCAAACCATACAAACTGACAATGAGGGCAATGCAAGTAGAGTTTGACATTTGCCTGAAATTTCAGACCCAGGTAAAAAAATGAGTAGTTAAACATGACCAACTACCGCGTAAGTGCGGTAGACTCAACCATGCATAACTCTGTGAACCACAACCCTTCCACTGCACTTTTTTTCCCACATCTAGCGCCCTCTACGGGGAACGCACACAACAGATTGCATTCTGAAGATGTGCCAAGAGGAGAAGGCTTACCATACGCCCTCCTTGTCAGCCACAATGACGTGGGGGCTGAAATGCTGGAAGCGCAGGGCCACCGGGATGCCTTGATTCCGGTTGATGAAGATCTGGTCATCCAGGCGGCTCATGACTGCAAAAACAACCAAGGATTTAGCTCAACTACACGTATATTCTGTACTTCACTGTGTAGAAGCTATCCTGCCATTTTACACAAGGCACGGGAGTCCTTCCGTGCGTGTTCGACCAAATGTGGACATGAGTGAAATGATTTGATCCAAAACGGTCATTTGGTAAGATCCTAACAACTTTTACCCAAAGTGGAATCATTAAACATGATTCTCAGAACTTGAAACATATGTGTGCCTTTCGTAATGCTCCTTTTCAGAAAACAGTGTTGCCATGGAAATACAGGAGCTCTTCACCGTGGCATACTTTGAATCTGCATTAGCGCACCCATGCATAGCAAACATTCCACGAAGATTTCCTAAGTTTTTCAAAACAGAAACAACAATACTTCCAAGTAACTGCTGACAAAAGGATCAACAGTCCATGATGACGTCTAATGTACTGCAGTTCCATGCAATGACGCCCCCACGGCTGAACAAGCCAGAGGAACAAACCATTGAAGGCTTGATTGGAAAGTCACAGGTTGTTGCCGCCGCATTGGGGTGTTTGTTCAGAACCATCTCAGCCCCCGAATCAAATCAATGAATTCCTGTCTCTCTTACCAGCTCTCTGTTGCTGTTCCCTGGCTTCCTTCCGTGCCACTGCGTTGCGTAGGAACCTCCATTCCCTCTCCTGGTGCAGCGAGCTGTAGGGATCCATCTCCTCCGGTGCCTGCCAAGAATTACGATCACGGGAAGGATCCCACAAAGTTGAAAAAGAAACTCAACTTACCGGGTTAAATAAGGCGTGCATGGGATTAGTTTATTTATGGGATTCTAATTCATTCCAAAAGACAGGATAAACAAATTCAAAATCATTTTTCTCTGTCTCTTTCCCATGTAAGGCCTTGTATCCTTCAGAACTACTAAGGAGTCTTGCTAAGGAGTTCGATCTATTTTATCAAATTGCTTTCTCCCCCTGCCCCTCCCACTTTCCTCCCCCTCCCCCATACATAGACCCCAATACGACGCTTTTAGCGTCGATCTGCGCACTTCCGCGGTTGAAAACGAGGCTGTATGTGTCAGCTTCAATTCTTAATACAATCAGACGATTGAAAG